TATTATCTTACTCTTGATAATATTACACTCGGGAAACTATTTACTGACAGGTGAATGTGCGTGAGCAATAAATCAATGGTCAGTGAACGGTTGAAAAACGCAGTCGTGTGCCTTACGGTGGCATATAGTTTAGCTGAGAGGGTCTATGTACCCCGGGGTACTGCCGGAACGTACCCTGGTACTATCTAATATGCCAAACCGTACCTCGTCTACTCCACTAACGAGTCTAGGGAGTCGCCTAGGCCTACTCCCTAACCCGAACCCTAACCCTAATCCTAACCCTAACCATATCAAATAGTGACCAGGGTACGTTCCGGTATACCGGACCGTACCCAGAGTACGTTCCGGCAGTACCCTGGGGGACATAGACCCTATGAGCTATAGTTTACCCATCTAGTTTGTCGATGTCAGGGTCGGCAACGATGGTGTCATATGCATGTCCTGCTCTCTCTGTCACTGCAACAGAGAGAACGTCCACAGTCTTAGCATACGAACCTGACATTAAACAGGTGTGACATATTTGATCAGCCGAATGTAAATGAGATAAATAAGTGCCAGAACAAGATAGTATCATTTGTTAATATGCACTATAGCGGAGAGCTTCGTCAGTCACTCTCATCGCAAGGCCTGCTAAATCAACAAATAAACTGAAGGACGGTGGCAATCTTGTTTAAATACATTACTACAGAGGCACACAAGTGCGGAAGCACTCTTACAAAAAACATCCCAGATTGCTGCCTGGAGATAATAGATCGAGATAACGAACTTGCTCAAGGCTAGATAAGAGAGTGCCTTGTCTCGTTACGGGTAATATGCACACCAGCAACTCACATAATAAGCAACTTTTAATCTTCCATCTTTTTACATTACGACCCACTGCGGGGGTAATTATGGTAACAAAGGATAACCAAAGATACTAAATTAGCTTGCAGCACCAACAAACAGTGTGATAAGCTTGATATGTTAAAACATTGCATCCTAATCCTGTGTTGACATCTAAACAATATTCTGGTTGGGGGTACAGCAAATAAGCACAAGGTATGGCAATTATTGATCCGTAGCTCCCCCTCGGGAAATGGTTTTCCATATAACGAAAAACTAAATTACATTAATTCTAATCACAGCTTTGTGTAATCGCTTGACATTTTTTTCCTTTCTTGACAGTTAATCAACAACCCGATGAATGGCCATGAGTGCCACTTGTCCGCTACTTACTGATAACACGCGCACGTATTCCTGCCAGCTGAAAATATGGCGCAACCTTCGTCTCGTAGATCTTTGGTGCCTTTCGCTTTCCTCCAAATGGGTTGATGAAAACTATGAGTGATTGAGGGCGCTGGAAACCTTAGGAAGATCGAGACTGTTAAATTCACACAGACAAATCCACTCCCTAGTTTTGGTTCAACCGTATTTTAAAGAGTCAGGTTATTGTCACAATAAATATAATAAAAATGACATTGAACCAATCGCACTGGAAGTGGATGTACAATTACATAGACTTATATATATATGTATAAGGAAAGGTAATTCACTTACCAGCCAGCACTGCCTTGATTCGATCCTGCCATTTTTGACATATGCTTGCGTCCGCACATCGAAACAACCAATGGTGGTCCCGCCACCTATGATTGCTGATCCGCTTAACAACGTGACAAGTGAACGTCACAATGCCACAGTTGATGGGTTTCAGCTCATATGCATTGTGCTTTGAATGCTCCACATAGCTTACTTCTGTTTTCACTGGCAGGACTGCGATGATTTCACTCGTTAGCACCTGCCCAACACCTACGACGAACATAACAAAACTGTAATGCAGCAGGAGAAGGAGAATATATGGCCTAGTACTTTGGTAAAAACAGATAAATACAAAAAAATGTTACGATAGCATATTGATAAATATCTGTTCAACCTAATACGCGTTTAAAATGCCAAGAAATTGCCTGCACCTCAACCCAGTGGCAGCAAATGCAACGGTGATGACCATGATATTATATCAATATATGTGCATTTCATACAATACAACAATATAGAGTCGACAATAGCCTATATAGAGTCTATATTACTGTGTATTTGTGCACAATGGCGTGGGCGCTATAGGAATGTGTGTTGCAGCGGTGTATTGGACGGTATTGAAGTGAAGTTATTAGGTCAAATCAAACTATTATTATTAATACTGGTAGTGGTACTGGTAGGTCTAGTACTGACAAGTTGTATTTATTAACCATCATTTTATTATTGAAACGGCCCAAGTGCCTGTGGGGCAAACAGAGGTAAACAGAGCTTGCACAAACATACGATTATTAGGATTTCAAATGTTATATCATAACTATAAGGTCGTATACCTTCTTTCCTCAATGTTTTTGGCACCTTTGTATAAATATTAAATGATTATAATAAATAATTGGATAAATATGAGATAAATCTCTTCCTAGTTTGCACCACTAGAATTCTTTGCACCACTGCACAGACAGAATTTCCTTATCTACAGGATTTCCCCGCACATTCCAAGAGAATCAGTGCCTTGTGAAATACAAGAGAGGGACCGCAAGATACAAGATACATGATACCACGCACACCACACACTCGCTATGAGCGGTTATTGAATCACCGACTGTTTTCAGTTTGCCCAATCTGAGATTTGGTCAGCCTAACTAGGGAATCCGCAGTTTGGGCAGCACAATCGCCCCTGCCAATGCTCTGAGATTGTGCAGATTCCAAGTTGGGTACGACAGTCCACTGGCGCTCATAGCGGGGTCTATGGTTCCACCAGGGTACTTGCCGGAACGTCACACTGCGGTACGTCCGGTATAGCGCTGAACGTACCCTGGTAGGGTTAGGGTTAGCCGTTAGGGTTAGGGTTAGGGGTTAGGGTTAGGGTTCGGGTTAGGGTGTAGGCGTAGGCGACTCCCTAGACTCGTTAGTGGAGTAGGCGAGGTACGGTCCGGCATATTAGATAGTACCAGGGTACGTTCCAGTATACCGGACCGTACCCAGGGTACGTTCCGGCAGTACCCCGGGGGACATAGACCCTCTCAGCTCCACAGGCACTGGCAGTGGCAGTGGCACTGCCTGGGTCACAGGGACGTGAGGCGAAAAATAAAAGTGTTATATATATAAATAGAAGTTATAATATAGATATTATCAGGATCGAGTAGATAATAGAAGATTCTTAATATCTTCAAGATATCTTCAAGAGACTAATATCTTCATAAGAGTCATAATATCTTCTATTATCTACTCCTGATATTATATATATATATATATATATATATATTATATATAAGAACACCTCTTCTATTTATATATATCAGTGACCATCACTTTTTTTCTATTTTTTTCGCCTGAAGGCTGAAGTCCCTGTGGCCTGGGTCACTCAGAGTTGACGACTAGATAATATTGATAGAATATTAATTTCACATTAATAGTAATAGCTTACACCGATTAGTTAGTCCTCGAGCATCTTCTGCCTCCTCTATTAGTAGTATATCTTTGGAAAGTTTCAAGAAACGATGCACTCCGTCAAATTCGACGGGAGAGCTAAAAATCCACATCTTCTTTCTGACTTCCTTTTCTTTTACAATTGTTTACGATCCACAGAGCCCTCTCGTGGGCAAAATCGTAATCAGCTGTTTATAGATGGGGGAAACCGGATTGACGATACATGTCGAGTAAGTAACCATCAAAGGTAACCATCGACGTGGTGTTCATCTAGGTGCATTGCTGACATGGCCGCGAAGGCAGAAGTTTAACTATGGTTTAACAACATCTAAACGTATTTCTATAAATATTCGCATAAGTTTCCCTGTTTTTATGTGATGTGGTGGTTGCCATGGACCTACCAAGGAAACCTTTTTGGAAGAAACCGACAAAATCGCCTGGCAGGTAATACTCGCCCTCATTAGTATCCAGGAAATGACTGATCAGTATCACGGAGCGAATGCCTCTAGGGGCAGCGCGTCTCCCAAGTCCGAAATAGTAGGTCTCAGGGGAGAGATAGTAATCCGCTAGATGGCGCATTATTAGTATAAATAAGTTGTGGATATAGAAATCAGTTAATTAACCCTAACCCTAACCCTAATCCTAATCCTAACTTTAACCCTAATCCTAACCCTAACTAAGTTCCTATCCCTAATTCTAAAAAAATTAAATTAAATAATTCGGCGTCTTTCGGACTTGGGAGACGCGCTGCCCCTAGTCGCAGCTTCACGGAGCCACATCACGCTCACACTGTCACAGTCACACAGTCACAGTGCCAAGGCGGTGCGCCATAGCAGTTCAGCAACTAAACATTATATAAGTTGACAAATACTTGACTTAACAAAACAAAGACTGTCACAAAGTGCCTAAATCAATAATAGTTTTCCACCGTGTTACCATTAATTTATCTATTTTTCCTAACTCAGTAACTGCTACTGCTAGTCAGTAGTACTACTACTAGTACTCAGGGTTCTCCCTACGTTGCGCAAACGGGGCGCGCGCGCTCCGTTTGGGAAAACTCCCCCCTGTTTCAATCGTTGCGCCCCGTTTAAATTACCTCCGCCCCGATTAAATTCTACCACAATAAAAGTTTGCCAGAGGGGGAATCGATCGTCAAGAATTCCCATTCGACCAGGACACCCGGCACGTGTATTTTTACCCTGCCACGCATGCACTGCAGACAATACACAAGTACAAACAGTCAACCTGTCCCACACCCAACACTAACTAAACACCGACTCGGCTATCTTATATATACAAGAACCCCAAATACCGTCTATGGTATAATATGTGTACAATGTTTGGTTATGTGACCGCCATGATAGAAGGCTGTATTTTATTTATAACATAGATGGCAGCACCTTCTGGTACTGTGTAAACCATACATGACATCTCCTTTGTTTTACATGATACTGTATCTAAACTGCACTGTACTATCTAAATACAATCAAACAAATATTATAATTAACACAGGTAATTTTCCAAATCTTTGGTTGATCGATTATACAGCTTGTTACACTGCACATAATTTAAATTTCCACTTTAAACACCATTCAGAGATTTTCACGACACATATGCTTCATTCATTCAGTGCAATAGCTGTATGCGTCGATCTGACACCATATAATATGTGTACAATGTTTGGTTATGTGACCGCCATGCATAGAAGGCTGTATTTTATTTATAACATAGATGGCAGCACTTCTGTACTGTGTTAAAAACCATACATGACATATGGTGTGGTGGCGATTTGCGATTAATTAGTGGTTACGTAAAAAAACACGCCCCCCACCGGTCGAGCCCTCACTAGTTTCCTCCCTCCCCCTCCCCCCTCCCCCTTCCCCTCCCCTCCCCCCTGTTTGAATTTCATCCTGGGGAGAACCCTGGTACTAGTACTGGCACTAGTGATAACACTGACTCCGTCTTAGCCACACGTTCCCTTCTCGCTTAAGTCCCCCCTTAACACTATACGTTGGCGAGAGGTGTCCTACGACGTGTAACAGTCGGAGAGCCTGGTCGGGCTAACTCCATCTCAGTCATACACTGATACACACTGGTAACATCCCAGTTATAATCCCGGTTCCCCGCCTACTCCTATTGTTTCGTTTTTATGCTAATATATTTTCTGTTTTTGTCAAGTTGTGTTCTCAATATTTGCATCTATATTTTCTTCTGGTTCCTGTAGTCTATTACTATCATACTATGTATTCCAATCAAAACCATAAATTTTATTATTTATAAATGATTGTTTAGTGAACAAACCGATCGTAGACGAAATGGAAGTAGGCAAAATTGGTGTAGGCCAACTGGGAATTTTGCTGTAGGCGAAATGGGAATTTTGCCGTAGGCAAAATGGGAGTAGGCCAACCGGGAATAAAACGATACACAATTCAATGTCACAAACACAAGTTGAAGTTGGATGTGCCCGCCCGTGATGTTGAGTTGAGTTGACACATTTGCAATACTCAAGTATGGTCACTTACACTGATACCGTTCATGAACTGCTATAGTCTGTAATATAATGTATATGTGGTACATAGTGGTAAGAATAATTGAACCAGATATGCTGAGCAGATAATGATAAAACTGTAATGTTCTATAATTTTGACACTTTTCACGTAACTTAGTTTAACTTATAATTATATGTTTGTTTAGTATCAAGCCAGTGTATGGTGCCCAGCACCCACCAATGAGTGATCCATCTAGGTATGTATTATTAGTAAATAGTATATATATATATATATTTATTTATCTGTGTATCTGACTCTGTGTGTATGAATGTGTCTATGTGTCAGTCAGTCTCTATGTGTTATATGTGAGTATGTGCGTGCGCGCGCGGCGCGCGCGTGTGTGTGTGTGTGTGTATATCAATAAAATGTACAATAGAAATATAGAATAAGGTTTCACATATTTTAGATACAAGTACAGCATAATGCTTGCTCATTCAAATATATGACACCTCATTCTATGTTTCTATTGCACATTTCATCTATGTCTTCAATGGTAACTGTGTGTTTTTACATCAAGTTTCTCATCACGCTCACTATTGTTTGTAATACGATTACAATTTCCATAGTGCGGTGATTTCTTCTTCATCTTCGCCAAAGAAAGACAAGACACGCATGCGGCGAAACTCGTTTTCAGAGTTTGCAAACAAGACGGAAGATGCCTGGGATGCGGGTGACGATGACATCTGTGTTCTATCCGATGTGAGTAACAGAGTATTTATGACTGCAGAGATCAAAATTATGGAGAAAAAACAGTCATTTTCCTCTTGACTGTCTGCCTAAATCTATATTTCAGTAATAGGTTTAGGTTTTATGGTTGACTAGCAAGGTACATTATAGCTATTTAGCATAGGCTCTACGGGGAATGACACTAAGCACACACTCTAACCAGTACAAAATGAGACATCATTACAGCAAATTACAGCAAAATTCGTCACATCGGATATAATTGGGTTAGACAGCTATGCACATAAATAAAACCCAAAGTGTGTTAATATGGCACATACATCAAACATGCCACACATGTTCATTCATCAGCAAGTAAGTAAAACTTTATTTAACATCGATATAGCATGTTAGGTAACATATTATTAGCGCTGTTATGCCTGATATTATTTTTACTTTTCTGCCTGACTTTACAGCCTGACATTACTGACAGCCTGACATTACAGCCTGACATTACTGCCTGACATTACAGCCTGACATTACTGCCTGACATTACAGTCTGACATTACTGACAGCCTGACATTACAGCCTGACATTACAGCCTGACATTACTGCCTGACCATTACAGTCTGACATTACCCAATGACAGCCTGACATCTACAGTCTGGACATGTACCAGTCCTGACATACAGCTCTGACATTACTGACAGCCTGACATCTACCAGCCTGACATTTACAGCCTGACATTACAGCCTGACATTACTGCGCCTGACATATACAGGGTTCTGACAATTACTGACAGCCTGACATACAGTTTCGACGATTACAGCCTTGACACACAGTCTGACATTACTGAAGACCTGAGCATTACCAGCCTGACATTACAGCCTGACATTACTCCTGACATTACCAGTCTGACATTACTGACAGCTGACATTACCAGTCTGACATTACAGCTGACACTTACAGTCTGACATTACTGACAGCCTGAACATTACTGCCTGAAACATTACAGTCGACATTACAGTTGACATTACTGACAGCCTGACATTACAGTCTGACATATACAGAGCCTGACATTTACAGTCTGAGCATTACAGTCTGACAATTACTGACAGCCTGACATGTACAGTCTGACATTACAGTCTGAACATTACCAGTCTGACATTACAACTGACATTACTGCACTGACATTACAGTCTGACAATGTAGTCTGACAGCTGCCCTTCGATATTACGAGCCTGACATTACAGCCGACATTACAGTCATGAACATTACTGACAGCCTGACATTACACCTGACATTACTGACAGCCCTGACATTACAGCCTGACATACAGCTCTGACAGTTACAGCCTACATTACTGCCTGACATTACAGTCTGACGAGTACTGACAGACTGACATTACATCTGACATTACAGACTGACATTACAGCCTGACACTTACAGGTCTGACATTACAGCCTGACATTACAGCCTGACATTCACACTCTGACATTACAGCCTGGACATTACAGCCTGACGGCGGTTCAGACTGCCGTGAGAAATATCCGACAGATACTGAATATGTTCACATATAAGATGTTCACACATAGGTGCAAATCTCTTCAAAGGCTTGCCGAGAGTGCCACACGGCTCTGACCGTGATCTGAAACAACCATCGAACCTCCTCGGCTGCCGTTTCCGAGAAGGAGAGGGAGTATCAGGATGAGGAGGAGGACGCAAGACGATGGCGACGACAACAGTAAAGGCTGACACTAGCTAGTGACTGGACAGTAGTAGTAGTGTAGCAATCCCTTACAGTAGTGGTAGGTACAAATATATATATATAATATATTATTATATATATATATATATAGATTCATATTACATGTAAATTAATGCACACCTCAACTTTTATATATATAATATTTAATTGCAGATAGATAAATTTAAAAAATAGAAATACGTGTCAAAATTTTATAACGATGAAATTTATCTTATCTTACTTCTAACCCAATAAAATGTTGACACCTATTTCTATTTTTAAATTTATCTTATATATATATATATATATACATACATACATACATATACATGGAATTATACAAATATAGAATTATACATGGAAGGTACTACCTATTCAATTTTTGAAACTGGTGTTGTTGCCCTTCTACTTCTATGGGCAGTTGCTAACAGAGTGGGAAGACCCGGGGTAGAATGTAGTAAAACAGCGAGTGATTAGTACAGGGCGTGTTTGTGAGTGACTGCGGATGTAATGTTGGAATACAGATGATCTGCTTACAGGACCATCCAGTCCCACATTGCTAGGCGGGCCGGGGATCGGTGTGCGGCAGACGCCGGCGCCATTCCGACACATCCCCGCGTACAAGCGTCTGCTAGACAAGGACCTCGACAGAGAGGTCGCAAAGCTAGAGAAGTTCAAGAGCCTGCTGGAGGCTCCTAGTGCGGCTCGCGCCTTTAGTGGAACCTGGGTGAGTGTGTGGGTGGAGTGTGAACCTGGGTGAGTGTGTGGGTGGAGTGTGAACCTGGGTGAGTGTGTGGGTGGAGTGTGAACACTGGCGGTGATCGGGGTGTGGGTGCGAGCGTGAAACCCTGGGTGAGTGTGTGGGCTGGAGTGTGCGCGGTTAGAATTGTGAACCTGGGTGAGTGTGTGGGGTGGAGTGTGAACCTGGGTGAGTGTGTGGGTGAGTGTGAACCTGGGTGAGACTGTGTTGGTTTGGAGTGGTGGAACCTGA